GGTTATCGTGAGAACTCCTGTGCTTACATGGGGCAGTCCTGTCAGGGTGAGTTTCTTTGCCTCTGGTTTTTTTAGTCTTTGAACTAAATTGTAGGCAACCTGGGGACTGGATGTGGGAAAGGAAACTGACATTTAAAGACCTCCCATGTGGAGAAAGGAGCCTTAGTGCCTTGAAATGCTGGTGACTGGATTGCTCTGTGTTATACATGAAAGTTAGGAGAGTCAATCCGAAGAGCTCTCATCGCAAAGAAAAAATTTTTTTTCTTTTCCTTTATTTTGTAACATGTGAGGTGTTCACTGAATTTTTGTGGTAATCATTTCATAACGTATGTAAGTCAAATCATTATAATGTACACCTGAAACTTACACAGTGCTGTGTGTCAGTTATATCTTAATAAAACGGGAAGAAGAGAAAAAAATGTTGGTGATGGGGACACCTTCAAGGCCATACAGACCAATTGTCTCACTTTAGAGATGGGGGCACTGGTCATGCTGCATGTTCTCCACGCTCACTGCAGACACTGCCGGGCACCTGGGAGCGTCCACATGAACGTCTGGTGCTGGATGAAGTTGCCAGGCAACTGGGAAGACCCCAGAAAGAAGTGAAATTAACCTCATGGTGGGTACAAACGTCACCATTTGGCCCCATTTAAAACATTTCACCCACCTCACTACTTTGCCCAGACCCAGTCTGCCTGTCCATTTCTGACTAGGTATCTCTCCAGGAATGGTTTGCTAGCCCATCTTCCCTGAGAGACCTTCAGGGGGTTCAAAGTCTGAGCTTAAATGAAAGTTACTCAAAAATAGGTGCTCAGGATTCATCAAATAGTCTCAGCTGTATAACCGATTCTACATCATGAGACCAAAAAAAGTCATTTTAAAAAGGATATTTAACCCAAAGTCAACTCTAACTTAGAGCAGACAGCAAATACAGTCCCTACTGTGAAGATGAAAGATGCAAGAAAACAAAATAAAAATTAGCTCTAACTATGCCATTTTTACCCAAAAGGAAGACACTACCCACCATCTTCCTCCAAGTAACTGACTTTCTAACTTCCCTGCTTTATTGTTCCCTTGCACTTATTTCACGTGACATATTATCTTTACTTGTTTATTCAGTCAAGGCTCATTGCCACTCCCTAGAGTGTAAGCTCCATGAGGGCTCAGACCTGGTCTCCTAAGTCACTGATGTATCCCCAAGGCCTGGAACAGTTCCTGTCACTTAGTGGGTTCGCAACACATATTTGTTGAAAAGATGAGTGAATGAATAATCAAATAAACTTGGGAAAGGAGAGGAGGAGTCACATGATGTAGACAAGAAAGAAGAATATATGGCTGCTTTTTGCCTCCAAGAGTTGCCCCCGTGTCCACCAGCCGTCAAGAATCCCTTAACACTTCACACCTGATAGAACAGCTGTTATCAGAAAGGAAACTAAGTGTTGGTGAGGATGTGGAGAAAAGGGAAAACACATATACTGTTGGTGGGGATGTAAATTGGTCCAGCCACAATGAAAAACAGTAAGGGGGTTGCTCAAACATTTAAAAATAGAACTACCATACAGTCTAGCAATGCCACTTCTGGGTATTTACCAAAGAATTCAAAACACTAATTCAAAAAGATACATGCACCCCTCTGTTCATTGCAGCATTACTTACAGTAGCCAAGATATGGAAGCAAACCAAGCAGCAATCAATGGATGAATGGATAAAGAAGGTGTGGGGTGTGTGTGTGTGTGTGTGTGTGTGTGTGTGTGTGTGTATGTATTATCAATACAATAGGAGTGAATAGGAGTAAGAAGGTAGGTGGGTGGTGTGTGTGTGTGTGGTGTGTGTGTGTGTGTGTGTATGATTATTAGCCATAAAAAAGAATGAAATCTTGCCATTTGCAACAACATGGATGGACCTTAAGAGTATTATGCTAAGTGAAATAAGTCAGATCGAGAAAGACAAATACCATATGATTTCACTCATATGTGGAATAGAAAAAGTAAACTAAATGAATACACAAACCAAACAAAACCAAACAGATACAGAGAACAAAGCAGTGGTTATCAGAGGGGAAGGGGCAGGGGGCAAAATGGGTAAAGGGGATCAACCGTATGGTAACAGACAGAACCTATATTCTGGTGGTGAGCAAGCTGTAGTGTATACAGAAGTAGAAATATAATGTTGTATACATGAAACTTAGATAATGTTATAAACCAAGGTTACCTCAATAAAATAAACATTTTAAAAAAGAATGTCTCCCTCACGTCTCTGCTCTGATTCCACCATCACCAAGCAACCTTTGATTTAAATCTTTCTATGTGCATTTTTCCACAGATGGGATCACAATTGTGATTCACTTGGCACAATATTTTTTACTGTAAACTAATAGGTTAGCATTTCATTTTTTAAAATGGGTTTACATCTAAAAGAATTCTGAGGAGCAGAATCTCAACCAGGATGAAAACCTGTGGTGAAAGGAGCAAAGAATGGTGCAGGGGATGTGGGTTTGAGATCTGACTCTCCTTTTGACTCACCTGTGTGGTCTTAAAAAAAGTCACTTCTCTGGGCTTGTTTCTCCAGAGAGGCATTGAATTTGATAACTTCTGAGTCCCTTCCATCTTGCAAAGTTAGGGTTCTATAAAATTTAATAAAGTAGGTTCTTCCATGTATTTTGACCTCCTAACAGAGGTGTTAACTGGAGTCTCATGTCACTGTCCACTAGCAACACAGTTTGTCCATTGGCTCATGTGGGTCACGGGGTCAGCACTTTTCCCCAGGGTCAGTTACCATGGCCAGGAAAAGACAGAGGGTGTCCTCATTAAAAATCTAAAATGCCAGCGGAGACCCTCCCTGGGGAAAACAGAGATCACACAGCAACCCTTTCACAATGACAACTGTACGGGCGTGTGGGTGTGAGGAGATGAAGGAGGTACAAGAGGGAAGGAGAGGCAAGGCACAAGGTAGAGGATGTCCAGGCGGTGGGAAGGCAGATGCAGAGCAGGGGTATGCGGAGCCACTCGTTTTCCCATGAGGGCTTGGCAGACGCTTAAGCTTAACAAATGAGAATCGCCCATGAAATTTTAGTAGATACATGAAACTCTTTCCATTATGAGCCGTGTCACCCTGAGAGAGGGAGCACAGGAGCTGAGTGTCCCATCAATGTATCTTCCTTGCAGGTTTTAGTTATCAATTCACCAAAGCTGCCCCTAGCCTGCTTTCCCGGCCACCCTCCCAGCATTCATTATTCGGCCTTCTTTGAGATCTTAATTGTGTGTTTGTGGCACAGTTATTGGACGATCAGGTCAGACTTCCCGTCTGAGTGCTAGTCTTATACGACCGTTACCTACAAAGCACTACCACTTCGAGATCATTCTTCAAACACAGTATGTCAAAAGCAAACTCGGCATGACCCCTTCCCAGCTCACTCTGTTTCTGTCATGGACATCACCAATCCCATTCTGAGGCTTAATCTTGAAGTTATTTTTACTCCTCGTGACCCTTTACCAATAATCATCCACAACCTCCATAAACAATAATCTCAGCAGTCTACCCAGTGCTCAGTAAATGCTCACCATTCTGCGATTTGTATTCTGATCTGAAATGATCCCATCAGTCACCCAAGATGGTAAAGGCTTCTCACAGAGGCTCTTACATTCCTCTTTTCCCTCATCTTCACATTAAGCCATGTTCCCATCCACTTGAGCCTAAACTCCCAGAGTATCTTTCTTACCGGCCTCCCAAGCTCTAATTTTTCCCTGCTTTAATCCACCTCAGATAAATTCACAGACTGATCTTTCATCTTGAAACAGCTTTCATCAAGTCATAGTTGGCCTACAAACCTATGAGGGTTCCTGTTTACAAACTCCCCATTGGGCATTTTAGAGCTTTGGTCAACTGCTGCCCTCCTCCCCAGGCTACCCAAGATCTGCATTTGTCTTTATTCGACTCGTGTTTGTTTGAGCACCAACTACATGCCAGCCGTGCTCTCTGTCACTCACTACCCTCCAGCATTCCCCCTCTTCTTCAGTCAAGCTCAGCCTGATGCTCCCCTGAAGCCCCCACAGTGACATAGGCCTTTTGGACTTTGCACATATTCTGGCCCTGCTGGGAATCGCCCCCTTTCTGCCAATAAAGATCTGATAGCTCTTCCAAGATGTACCTTCTCCTGAAGGTTTCCCATATGAATGAAGCCCAGACTACCAGCACCTCACCCTTTTTCTGAATTCCCTCAGCATTCTCACACTAGATGTCTATTGCTAAGTATTGTTCTCTTACTATTTCACATGCGTGTGTTGGTCTCCCCGATTGAAATGTGAGCTCTTAGAAGGGCAGAGGCCAAGAACAGAATCTTCTATTCTTCTTTCACCAGATCTGGAATGGGCAAAGGCAGATGCAAGGCCAGAAAGGACCCTGATTTTGCACATAGCTCGTGGACAAGGCCCAATTGCTACAGCACAGGCAACAAAGGCAAGAAAAATGTGCACCTAAGACTAGCTCCGAGCACAAGGCCAGAGACTCAGCCATGTTTTGAGAAGTGTTTGTTAAATGCTGAATTCTGTTTTAAAAAATAATTCAAGTCCCTTACAGATCGTACATTCCTCTAGCACAAAAATCTCTACTGAAACGCTATGGCCAGTATAACCTACTGGGTCTCAATCACTAATCAGATTTGAAATTCTTGACTCTCCTTAGCCAGGATGCGCAATCCAGTGGGCACATCTCAGCTGTCTCTATCAGAGGTTGCCCCTCCACCTGGCAATTACGTGCTACAACTAACTACAAGTTAGCACCGATTCATGCCCTTTTGTAAGTTGTGTGACTCCAATACAAGCCAGTTGTAGGCAAACCTGTAAGCCCAGCTCCCCTCCTCCCCTTGGTCTAGTTACACAATGTCTCATGCAAACCTTTTCAAACACGATGTCTCACCCAAATGGCCGGGTGATGTGTAGCACCTTGCAGAAAGCAGAGGAGATGCCCTTGTAGAAGGAGTGCAGAGAGGGAAATGCACTTACCCTCACATAGTAGTTCATGCCCATCCCCAGCAGGTGCTGCAGAAGGTGCCTGTCCTGCCTGCTCCCAGGGGTTGGCTCCCCAGGACCAGGAAGGGGGTGGGCATCAGGAGTTAAAGAGGTCGCCCTGTGCCCCACCGAGTCCTGCTGAGGCAGAGGTGCTGGCCCGGTCCTGTTCAGACTGGTTTCAGGGGAAGCTGGGCTGCTGGGGGCCGGGTCCTGGCTTTCTTGGAGCTTCAGCCGAGGTACCTCTTTGGTACCCAAGCAAAAGTTTTTCAGACTCAGCAAGGTGGATGGGTTGGCCAGCTTTACACTGGCCATGCGAGGGATCAAGGTGCACAGTGGGGTGGGGCTCTCCTGGGACGCCGAGGTGGCATCTTCAGCAGGCAGGTGAGGTGCCAGGGCCGGGTAGGGAGGCTGCGGCGAGCCCTTGTTCCCGGCGGAGGCTCCGGGGCTGCCTTCGTCAAGGGACGTGATGGACTCGTTCCGAAAGCGGCTGTACTTGGCCCTGTGCAGCATCCCGGGGTGCCCAAAGAGTCCTACATACAGCACGAGTCCTGCCAGGCTGTCCTGACCGCGTTCTCGCATAGCCTTGGCGGTGCCGAAACAGGATACTGTTGCATAAATCGCCTTGCCTGATAGATAAACGGAACGGAAAAGCAAATGCCTCCACTCCCCGGGCAACTCGCGGCAGCCACCTCTCTAACTCTGCTCTCGCCCTCGCCCGCCTGGGCTCCGGGTCCTCGCGGGTGACAGCCTGAGGGAAAACGCCTCCAGTCCCTCCCTGGCCCAGGCGGCGGCACTCGGTGTCCTCGCCTTGGATTCCTCGCTGGGAAAGCCTGCACCCAGCCTCGCGGCGGCGGGGATCGCTCACCACCAACTCTTAGGCACGGAACCGGGCGGAGCACCGGCCAGCCGGTCCCGCCGCATCGCGGGCGGTGCAGGAGCCCTGCAGAAATATTTAGCGCCCCCCACCCCCAGCCGCCCCTTCTGCACACAGGAACTTTCAAACCTGCTCCCTCCGGTTCCCATAGGGCGGGGCAACGACTGGCCTATTAACCCTTTCTGTGTTCCAGTGATTGCTCATTTAAAAAAGGGAAAAAAAGAAGATGTATATATGAGCCAAAGGCCCTTCTGCCTGAGTTCATTTCTTCTGATGGCTGCCCTCTCTTGGAAGATCTTGTCTTGCATCCCGTCTGGGCCACAAGCCAGAAGTACTAGTGGCAGGAGCTGCTCCGCATTATTTCACGGACTTGTGATCGCTCCGTGTTCCTCAGACCCCCTCCCAGCCTGTCCACCCGGGCTCGCAGCTCTCCTCCCTCCCGGACTCCTCTCAGAGCTTCTTTCAGGAGCCTATCCGCAAACAGAAGGCTGAGATGTGCAGGATGATACGCAGTGTTGAAATTTTTATGAATGAACTTTGCTGAATGAATTTCTCTGTGTGTGTGCAAGCTAATAAATCTGTGAATGAAGCTGAGAATAGCTGTAATTGACTGATGGTCTCAGGGGTGCTTGGTTTTTATCCAATCAGGCAGCAGCTTGATGACTCATGCACCATAAATATACTAAACTAATAGCCAGGAGAAATAAAGCTGGAGGGAGAGAAGGGGGAGATTTTATTTTGTGATATCCGATGAAAGGGTTAAAGGGAAAGGCAATATTTATTATAAATCATCTGTAAGCCGGGCAGCAGCAGGTTAAAAGGTCTGTTTTCTTTTTTGTCAAGATGACAGGGAAAGCCAAGCAGAAGAGCTAAAAATTAGATCCATTGTTCCACGGATATTATTAGGACATATGGTACACAACTCCCGTGAGAAGCCCGTGATGCATTTTTCTTAGAAACATAGTTTTTTTTATTGATTGCTGGTTCCATCTCCCGTCTGGTGCAGCTTCCTGTACCTATCAAATGCATTCTGAAGACGTGATGACAACTGCAAGAGGCTGAGCACACAGGAAGCCAGGAAGGGAGCCGAGACAGGGAAATGCAGGTTCTTGTAGGAGCAGAGAGGAGGAAAAGGCTGAAACACTGGGAGGATGTGGAAATCACATACCAGAAGAGACAAGAAAAATCTCTGCTGAAGGTTCTATTTCTCGATGGGCCAAGGCTCTTGTATCTGAAATGGTTCATTAATTCAAACGTTAAAACCGGCAGCCACCTTCATTGTCTTATTGCCCACAAGGCAGCATTAGGCTCATGTGTATTCATGACTCGGGTGGCCTGCGCTCCCTCAGGATCCAAACGCAGATTCTGAATTAAATGGTTCCTTGTGACTGCCACGGAAAAGGCATCCTCCCCGCCGTCCTGCTCCCCCACAGAAATTATGCACCTTTTCACATCCTGTTTGCCAAACCTGTTAGGATGGTTTTTCCTGGGGAAGGCCTTTTTGCATCTTCATAAATCTTCCCTTCAGTGCTCACTGACCTCCTCTCTGCCCTCACACCTCCTCCTGGCAAACTCGTGGGGAGTGGCTAAGCCAGCTGGACTCCACATCCCTGGGGCTGAGGAGGCAAGACTGTGAAGTCATCTTCCCCTTTTTCTTTCTTCTCCGCCTCTCTCTTTCCCCACCAGGGGTCCTTTCCTTGCTGTCACAGACCCCATGCTATGCTTCCTTGAGAAAGTTCCTTTACCTCTCTGTGCCTGAATGCCCTCACGTTAGGAGCAGCCATCTAATGAAGACGTTATAAGAGCTCAGGAGATAATCCTAATCCCCGTAGAGCCCTTGGCACCATGTCCACCCAGTGCCTGCCTCCCCAAGTACATGCCGGGCAACACAAAGAGAAGCCCTTTGAACCAGGGTCACCTGCCCATGAAGCTGGTACTCCTACCCCATACAGAGTAGAGTCTACACCATCCTAGGCAACTAAAAAGAAAAATTAGCACAAAGGAGGAGAAGCTGAAAATGCCAACACTGTCCCCCCAAAACCTCCAATTTCCTAACAACTGTGTGGGCCTGGAGAAGGAAGGAAACAACGGGAGCCCACCTGGCTGATGTGAATCTTGGCTGAGGCCTTCATGGCTGGAGGACAGAGTGCTCGGGGGAGCCGACTCACCCAGGCAGGCATTGTGCCGGTCAGACTCCAGGGGCTTAGATCAGTCCACACTCCTCAGGAGGAGAGGGTACTAGAAAGGTGTGTGTGTGTGTGTGTGTACCAAATGGGACCAGGTAGGGGAAGAAAGCAGCCATGGGCACTGTGGGCTGCTTCTCTGTGCCTGGGGACGCTGGAGAACTTGGTTCTTATAGCGTCTCTGCTGGGGCCTTTTATGAGGGTAAAAGAAACCAGATATGCAACTGGGGGGTGAGAAATGGGCAGCTCTCAGCCCAAAGGCAGAAGATGAAAAGCTGCTCCAATAGCTCCAGAGCAGGCTTATTAACTGAGTAGCTCTCCATTCCAGGAAGGTGGGTGGGCCAGGCAGATGGCTTCCTTTTCCCCAGGATATTAGAACATCCTCTTCAATTAGTAATGATGAAAATAGTATTAATAAAAGCTACTCATTACGGGACAAAAGACCATTTACCTGCATTCACATTCAATCACTAAAGCAACTTTTGGAGGCTGGCACTGTTTTCATTGCTGCCGCCTTACAGACATGGAAAATAGGCCCGGAGCAAGTTCAGTGACTTGGCCAAGGTCCCCTGGATGTTGAACAATGATGCCAGGATCCCTCCAGCAGCTCGGACCATCTGCAAAGCCTGGGCTGCTGCCTCCCAGGGCACCGGACAGCTCAAGCCTCCATCCCAGAACTGTCACCTCCACGCTGCGGAAGAGAAGGTCAAGGCACCGAGTTTGTAGTAAGCCACTCTGTTCCCTGGCTTGTGCAAGCGCCACAGTGGGTCTAGTGTTGGAGCTGAGCGCCGACTCGCTTCAGCTGCGTGACCTTCCCTGCTGGGATACCCGCCAGTGTGTGCAGGAACCTAACTCCCACCACCTGGTGCTCACTAATGTTACTTTTCTCTCCCTGCTCCTCTTTGGAGAGCATAACTAAAAAATTCATCCTAAAGCCTTCACAGGATTGCCACGAGTGAAAATATGAATAATAGATAAGAGAAACCATTACTGTCATTAAATCATCAGAGAACATTAACCCCTCTCTTCCCCACCCCTGGAAAGCAGGGTTCTGCTCAGACCACAGTGTCTGCCTCCTCTGCTTTGAGACACCCCGCTTCCAAAGGCACCTGCTGTGAATCAATGTGCCAGCTTAAGGGACAGCCCCTGGCTGGGCTCCCTGGGCAGAGCTGGTAGGTTCAAGGAACAAGAGCTGGTTCAGGCTGGGCCATGATGGAATTAGCCAGGTACTGCTAGGATTTCCTAGAGGAGGTGGGGAGAAGGAGAACTGCGCAAAAATGCCCGCCCAGCTTTGCAAGAGAACCCAGTGTGGGGTTTAGGGTGGAGGAAGGATATGCTAGAGAATATGGGGTGCTGTGGAGATAGAACAAGACAGAAATAACCCTGGGGGATCGTGGGCCAACTGCTACTTTCAAGCAGAGTGGAGCAGGTGGCCACAGAGTGCTAGACCACTAGGACTTACTCCAGCCACCAGTATCATTTCCATCACAAAGCAGACCTACTCCTGAAGAACTGTCACTGGAAAATAACTACTCCCAAAGATTTTTCACTGAGGGTCAGCCTGCCCAACAGCCCATCAGATAGGGACGAAAACACTGCTGAAGACCAATTTCAGGGAAAACATTTCCACAAGACAATATTTATATAAATCTCTTGGCAGAGACCAAAAGTACCATTTTAAAGATGGGGATGTGAGATAGTGAGGATGGGTTGAGTCTCTGAGAGTCAGGGCTTCGCGTCGAAAAATGGAGGCAGGTCAGTTCCCCCAGAGTAGTCATTAACTCTGAAAACAACATCTTCTTTTTGCCTCCTGAACCGAACGTTTCCAGTTTTCCCACAGTCTCCAGTCTTGGGAGGTAAACAGCCCTCTGATGGTTGCTGTTGGCACTCACTGGCTCTCCTGGAACCAGAATCAGCGAGAAACGGCACAGAGAAATGGGTATTTTCCTAGCCGCTAAAAATGAGATAATGTACCTGAAAGCGCTCTGTAGAATTAGACATCTTAGACATCATGCAGATGAAAAGCACATGAGTTAGCTAGGGTCAGGTTCAGTTGCAAATAACACCAAAATCCTAAAGAAGAGTGGCTTGAACAAAAAGTTCGTTTCCCTGGAGAGAGGAAGTCCAAGGAGAGCGTCAACTCTTGGCCACTCTTAAAGTATATCTCTTTTCCTCATAATCCAAAATGGCAGATAGAGCTCCAGCTATTTCATCTCCACTCCAGGCAGCAAAACGGATGAAAGAACAAAGAAGGACATGCCCACTTTCTTTAAAGAATCATCCTGGAAGCCCAATACAATGTTTCCACTTACATCATATTAGCCAGAACTTAGTCATATGGCTGCATCTAGCTGTAAGAGAAAAATGAAGTCTTCTTTATCTGAGAATGAAGAAATCTTTTGTCTGGGTGGGTGGCTGCTACACAGAAAATCAGTCTCTTAGTGGGGAAGGAGAGGAGAATGGATACTGTGATAGAAAATAGTATCTCTGCCATAGTAATAATTTCAGAAGATCTTCTACCT